TATGTATCTCTTTTACTTTAGATATTATTTAATAAGGATAATATATGTTGTACATATGTACAACAATAAAGCTGAATTCTGTGCACAGCTCATCTTTCGAAAAGTCGCCGATGTCCGTCGAGAAAAGGAGTTGGCCGAAAGAAGAAAAAATGAGCCGCAGTTGGATCAAGCTCAGGATCATCTGGTTCGCAAGATCTTCTCGAGGTAGGAAAACACTTGCTTAGTATCTACTATTATAGTTACCGAATATGATCGAGTGCACTCAAATTCGACGTCATCAGTTACTCATCCTTGGAACAAAAACATGAATCAGTCGAGAAATCCATTCTGAGAAATCGACAAATAGAAGTTGCGCAAGATAAAAGGACATTCGACAATTTTTAAAGCAATTCTTAATTATTGAAATTCAACTTTACGGAATGGATTTTTGCTAAGAAAATTACAATTGCAAGTATTAGTTTGTAGCTGACGACTTCCGGTTGTCACTGATGATTAAATTGTTGGAAAGTGTCTGCTTCGATTTGTTTTGACGATCGTAAAAAACTTTATCGAAGCATACGAGAGAGCGCAATTTTGCATTCAAAATTTTTTCTTCCACACGATGACTAGATATATAAGTGAATGTAATTGCCCACGCGATATATGATATATCATAAAGTAATGCATATTAATTCACAATATATTTTCACATAGAGCATGTGCACGCGTACAACGATATGCGATCCTTTATAACGTAGCGCAATTGTTAGTTTTGTCTCTAAAGACACATTTTTCGCGCGCGCGCGCGCGCACACATATTCATTAAAAATCGAATATGTAAGTACGAATTTGTCTGAAATAATTTTGTGCATTAAATCGTCAGATATTAATAATGTAGCAAAATAATTAAGAAAAATTTAATTCGTAGGCGAAAATAAATATATTATTAAAGTAACAATTAATTAAAAATATACAATTGAATATATTATTAAAGTAACAGTTAACGAAAGACTGAAAACGTGTTTATTGAGATGGATTTGAAAGAACTCGAGTTGATTGTTGCGCTATCAATAGATTGTTTTACCATCGTTACACTTTATGCGCGTGCACATACAACACCCTGCGTGACACGTGCAAGGGAGAGAAAAAGAAGAGAAAAATAAAAAAGTAAGGAATGAGAGAGAGAGAAAGAGAGAGAATGATGTATGTACAGAGAAGTTATCGCGAACGATTTTTGTATCTTCCGTGGCTGTTGCTGAATGTGACTGTTGATCGTGTTGCTTGGCTGGCCTGTTCTTTCCGAAAAGGTTCAAGAGCGACGGGGAAAGCCCGATCGGCATGACCAGGACCGTGAGCGGACGGTCCCAGCAGGATTCCGACGAGGAGCTCACCGTGAACGTCCTGCCACCCTGGCCGAGTTTTAGGCAATTTCATTATTTTTCTTATGTATTTATTTCTTCTCAAATCTTCTTTTTTGCCGTTTTCCTCGCTACGTACACGTTTTATTATCATTGTTATTATTGTTATTATTATTATTGTTATCATTATTATATTGTTATCTTTTATCATTAAATTATCATTATGATTGCCGTCGTTATGACCGTGGCAGTTTTTATTAATATCCACCGCGATGTATACTGTATATTACATTATGCATATAATACCGGAATACCTGTTTCAATATTCGTGTATATATATGTAACATTCATGAATATATACCGTATATACCACGGCAGTGCGTGATGCACGTGTCTCCGCGGGTTAATCCCACATTTGCATTCTGATGATTCCGAGTTTCATCAATTAAGAGCCTCGTTACGTACTTTTAATTTCCCCCATCCCTAAGTCAATATGTACTGTTTGCCAACTTCGAAAAATATGATAATGGAAGGGGAAAATATGAAGTAAAATAATTTTTTCTAATAAAGAGTCTAAGCAGATATGCTGTAAAGAGATTTTATGAAATATATCCAATGAAATAGATCCTTTTTATAAACGATTTATATTTGAATTGAAACTATTTTTTTATCTTTACTGATAATCAGGCAAATAAGGGATTAAACTGCATTGCCCCTCAAAACAAAGGTAACATAATGTAGGCAGAATGTTCTTGTGTAACATTAACAAACTTAATTCAACTTTATTTTTAACCAAAAAATGTGGCGAATTGATTTTTTTTTTGTAAATGAAAAAAATAAATTTTTAAATAAAAAACATACGATTGATTGATTATATACAAATAATTTACTACTATTTTACAACTATTTTAAAATGGGTAATTTTTAAAAGAATTAAGTTTTTGTTTAATTTGTTTTGAATGAGCTTTGATAAAAATCTTAATTTAATGCTTAGCTACATTCCGGGAAATTTTATGTTGGAACCCAAGAAAGCGAAAAGAGATCTAGATAAACTCTCGTTGAGACGATATCGATTCCAGATCGGTCGAAGATACCTTTAATCTAAAATTTGTCACTGTCATTCAAGAACACCCTGCACACATGTGTTCGGGTACTTCTCCCACATCCATTCGACGTGGTAAATACCGTAATACGTCCCGTAATGTGCCAGCTGGAAGGTATCACGTACGTGCACTTGCAGTACACACGCTTGAATGTGAACAACGATAAATTTTCATCACACGTCTATGTTGAAACACGAGCAAATCGAGAGTGGCAGCCGCCAGAAACGTCCCAAACTTCACATTTATCCTCATTGAATACACTTGCGTTGTATATTCTATATTTTATATTTTTAATAAAATATATAAAATTAATATGATTTTTTGCTTTACAGTAGTATTATAACGTCATTGATGTGATTATCTACAATGGCCTACTAATGTTTATTAAATTAATGAAGGATAAGCTAGAACGATGAATTTGATAATGATTAAGAGGTTATCGGACCATTTTTTTGTAAATAATTCTATCTGTTTAAATATCTATTCTATCAAAGATTGCATAAGATACAAAGACTACAAAGATGCTTCGGTTTGTTCGTCCTTCCAGCAGCATTTTCACGAGACGTACACTTCATCTGCGGTATCGTATCAGTATCATTATCATATTTTAATGATTATACTGCAGTTATTAACGAATGCTAGAGTGCTGTAAAATATATGGCTTTACAAGGTCATGCACATCTTTTTCGCATAATCATGTACATTTTATTACTAAAAGCCAGAGCCACATAGTGCAAATTGCAGGATTTCGTACAGTTTTTATTCCCTCCGTTATGCGTTAGATAGCTTTGCAACTTTATTCGCCAATTTTTATTTTCAGCGCTAGAACGAAATAATATAATCGTAATGCTGTAGCAATAACACTCGGAATTCTTACAAGGTTTGTTAATAAAAAATAAAACGATTCGAACAATATGATTTAATATATTTAACAAAATTGATATTGGCAATTAATAATAGGTACTTTTCGAGCGAGCAATATCTCATCTATATAGTTAAAGACTACGAATGTAATTATTAATCGCGTATAAAATTGTGCAAATTCGCAGAGTGCTGTCGGCGAGATGAGAAACTGTTGAAATCCTGACGTATTTAACGAGCATCCGATTTTCTTCGATTTTTATGCGAAGTGCATGCGACGAACGCACACTCTAGTATTCAGATTTCTCTTTATCTCCTATATAGTTGGATATTTGTATGAGAGTGCATATACGTACGAACATATATAAAATACTGTCTTGCAGATGCCAGAGAAATTATCGGAATGCCAGAGAGAAAACTAAACGAATATCACGCTGCATTTAAGATTTACAGCTACAATATTATCAATATTATGCCTTTTTTTTATTTCTATTGTATAATCATCAACGTTTTATATATACATATATTATATATCTATGACTTTCGCATTCTCAACTGCCTGACTCACACGCAATACGCTTTTATCGCTAATTATTCCTCCAGAATTTTGACTTGATAGTCTTACGCTACTTTTCTTTGTAGCATAATTAATTAATTATACTCACTAGTCTTACAATAATTTTTTGTAATGATTATTATCGCAACGATCGACAAACCCTTTTAGTTCAATGATAAACGTCATTTGATTTACATGCATGATGATATCGAATCTTTCTTTAAAGATGATAATATTAAGAGATGGTATAAACTTATTTGTTGTTTATTATACACATATATTAATAGATTCTGTAATCAATAACAGGGTGTTTTCATTTAATCGAATATGACAGATTTTGAACCGCCTTTGTCAATTCAATCGAATGCATGATGACATTTTAATATTTCAATCTGTATAGAAATTGCATATATAAGTATATATTAGAAAGAGAATTTTTTTAATAATTTACATAATTGAAATATTAATTCGGTTTATATTATTATAACAATAATATTGTTATATAATACATTAATGCACCTTTAACGAAAAGTAATAGTTATGTATAAATCGTTGATTGATTAATTTCGAGAGAGACAAGCGTGCTTTGATACATGCAATGCGATTTTAATAACATTTTTCACTGCCTACGCGAGCCTCCTTTCAGAAAGGCACTGTGACAACATCAATAATTAATAATTATAACGTAACTATTCGCCGCGTTTAATATGTTCCATAAAGTGGCATTCCCAAAGTTTGTCAGGCAATTTCTCATTCTGATGTCGTTATTATCCTAAAAGATAATATACCAAAATAATAATAATAATAATAATAATAATAATAATAAACGTTGGTCGACACTGGTTGGTACCGTATAATAGTCTGTTCAAAAAATGATTTAAATAATTTATATTATTATTGAATAATTTTATCAATTCGTTAATTTATCTATCATCAATGGATGTGGTATAGTTCAGTATTTTATCCGTAAAATTCATGAGCAGATGCCATGCAGCAAATGCAATTTCTAATATGATAACTTTTTGTAATATATTATCAAACATAGAGAAATAGGTATTGTTATATTATTAAAGCATTCGCAATTAGTACATCGCAAATGGATGATTAATTTATTGTCAGTTCGGTAAAGATGTCATGTTGTACTAAAATTTATGCCGAGAAAACATTTACGAATCCAAGTACTGTTAATTCATGTCTCTTCATTTGTCAACAATATTGCTTTGCTGTTTTATACAATTTCCAAATCTGAGAAAGCATCCAAGCATTACGACATCCGCTATCAATATAGATCAATGAAGGCAATAAAGAATACAAGAATTTCCTTCGAGAGCTTTTTTAATCAAGTATTAAGCGGCGTATCCCCACGATTTGAGTTGGATTAAGAAGTTGTAGCACCTGAGGAGCTTGTATAATTTTAGCGCAAAATACCAAAGCTCTGATATGATTCAAACATTATTGGTAATACGAGAACGTGTCCTGATTGTTGAAGAAGCTACTTGTAGAAAACGCTTTCTGAAAATCTTGCTACGGCAAATTAGCTTTCACCATCAGTGTTCACCAACGTTCTCCTCCGTTTTCCTCCCCCCGTATATATTTTGCGATTTTGCCAACATCATCCACCATCGTCGTGGATCCCAGACACGTCGCACCGTAAGTCGCTCGACCGCCAACCAATCGGAGTTACCTTCCTTTTTAGCTCTCGACAGTAGGCGGCTGTATTCTACGCTATGATAATAACCCTATTAGCTTTGCCTCGAACTAGTTAGCGGGGATGTACCGTAGATTTAATCGGGCCGGAAAAAAGAACGAAACTCATTAAATTTATATAGAAAAACAGGCAAATAAAATTTTTCACGTCAGAATGATCTTTTATCCAGCACCCCTTCACCACACTCTTGCCCCTTTGTATGCATTTGTACTTTGCTGCCCGCTGCCCTGGTCCAAATCTAGGGAATAACCAGCCTTTATCGTATTTTCTCCTTTGTATGTAAATATATTTTGTAAGTCGCTTGTACACACTAGGAAATAAAGACGGCTTTGTTTTCTCTTTGTATTCCGTGTAGGTTTCGCCGCGAAAAACACACTGCCGACATAGAAAAGGGCGACGGTAAAGAGGCCAAGGATGGCGAAACGTCGCACGCTAAGAAACTATCTACCGCCGAGGAAGGTGGAACAACCGTCGCGAAGACGCGACCCGGCAAGTGGGGTCGTTTGTTAGGTAAAATTTTTTTAAGAAAATCAATTTTTATTAATCTTAATTGCACGTACACAATTAAATCAATAAGATATACATATATAATGTTACTTAAAGCACAATCAAGAAATAAATTGAAATTGAACTTTCTGTGAGAAATCTATGAAAAAACTTATAATAATCCTGCAGGTAGCTCAAGTTTAGACACCGGTAGCGAATCGGGCACGGTTGGTGATACGTTCAAGCGATCTCTTAGCGCGAGAGATTCGCGTCCGAGTTCTAGCGCCAACAAGGTCTTCCCGAAGCTCGGCAAATTGGGAGGCACGATCGAAGAGGGCGGCGACAACGAAAATCAGAAGGATGCGCAGCCACAGCAGGCGCAACAACAACAACAACAGATTCTCAGTGTGGACTCGAAGCAGTTACAGCTACGACGTCTAGAAAGCTACGATGGTGGTCTGATTACGCAGCAACCGAGTCACGAGCGAGAGATTCTCGCGGCGGTACTGGAAGTGAAGGTGGATTTGAAGCTAGAGGTGCAAAGAGTAAATCAGCGACTGGCCAAGATCGAGGACATGCTGCAAGCGCTGATGAACAAGTTGCCGGTTGCCGGATCAGGAACATCATCATCCGGCGGCAGTAGTGGCAGTTCTCAGCAACAGAAAATTCCAAGCTTTGGTCTGAGCGGTGTCCAGAGTCAGTCACCCGTTACCTCGAGCGCAGTAACGTTAGTTCAGTCCGCGACTCAGACTAGCGAGTATAAACCGTCAATCGCTACCACATCGACGTCCACGACACCGAGCGAGGGTTATCGAGAACAGTCGACGGCGACGGAACGCATGTCTAAGAGCAGCCAGGAGCACCATCATCATCATCATCATCACCATCAGTCGTCGTCATCGCGGGACGTCAACAAGGAGCTGTTGGAGCGGCTGGCGCAGGCTTCCACGTCGCGCGGTGACGATTCGAATGCCCTGGGGCCACTTATCCTACGCAAGCGACGCAGCAAATCGCGCAACAAGGGTGCGGCGCCGCTCGCTCCTCTCGCCACGCAGCCAATGAGCCCGTCAGAGGCCACGGAGACTACGCAGATGCTCGAGTGTACCGATGATCGGGATTTGAGCGGTGGACCGACCGACAGAACTGTCGCAGACAGGACCGCCGAGAGATCCGACCGTAAGAGACCACCGCCCAGACCGAGAGAGTATTTGTGAAAGTTCTTCTCGCGCCGATTATTTCTTTTCTTCCTTTCCTCGAGACAATCTGCCACGACGCGAAAAAGTTCATCATCCAATACGCTTGGTAGTATAGCCTCTCGTGAAGACGTGAGTCCGCTGTATGATAATGCGCTCGCGATTATTTTTACTCTAAAACGTTCATGTATGTACATCGAACAATCGCTACTGTTTCATTACTCTCTCGTTTGTATATTTGTACGTGCACGACATGTACGTGGCATGTTCACGGTGGTTTATCAGTGCAGCTGAAAAATTTAGTTGTTGGCCACCTCATGCGTGTGCCTGGACTTCTCCGATGACACGATTGAGTACTAAGTAAGTTGACTTTGCTTCTTTTTGAGCAGCGAACGTCGCTGTTAACGAATATAACGTGTCGATAATTATGTTTATATATCGACTCTGATAATATAGACGTAACACATTTAAAGAGAAGATCTTCGCATTTTCGTTAGTCGCTCTTTAAGATGAGTGAAGGGAAAAATGGGACGAGATTTCATCTCGTGATTCCGATGAAACGCCAGCATAATTTTGCAAGGCCAAAAACTAATGAAGAAACGAGGTAAATAAATGCAGTTTTACGAATTACTCGCTTGCGACGGCTTCTTCGAGACACATCGAAACTCTCCGAGGGAATATATCCACCTTATACACATGCACACACACCCACACACACACACACACACACACACACACACACATACGTAGGTAGATATAGATTCACATGCATCGTATTGTTTACGATAGTATTATGGCGATTACGCTACATTTCTAAGCCTCTCTCCGGCCATAAGAACAATTCACTTTGACACCAAGCCAATGTGTCTCTCAACGAGATAACGTAACATTTTATAATTATAATTATTAAGCCAAACATTCGCGCGCATGTGATTCGTGATATAACTTGTAACGTTGATGTCTAACCAGTGTCAAGATATAGGCCGGTATTCATAGTCGGTTCTTATATTTAAGACTGTCTTAAGTACAACCTTAAGATGTCATGAATCAATCACAGAGCCGTATTAGCATCTTGACATTACTTAAGGCGATCGTGAAATAAGATCCGACTATGAATACCGGCCATATAGTCAGAACCAAACAAGTATATAAATTTTCAACAAATATCATAAATTATTTTAGGTTCAAAGATGTTAAGAATACGTTACAGAAACATATAATATGAAAGCTAACAATAAAATAAAATAATTAAAATCTTACATATAAAATAGAATAAATTATAATTAAATTATTCTTTTTAAAAAATTTCACGGATTTATTTTATTAGTCGTGTTATAGATCCCATGATACTAAAATTCATACTTGTTGAAGATTAAAAGGTCTACAGGAAATAATTTTTTGGGGATCTTGAGCGATTAATTTAGATGCAAATATATAGATATTCTAATTTTCTTTCAGAAAAGTAGATGCACACACACATTTCCGTAATAACTTTTTTCTTTACGGTATAAATTTAAATACATATTATTTTTAATAAATTTTTAATTGGAATTTTAAATATACTTATATGGCTTATACTTATCTCCATTTTTGACTGGTTCTGCATTAATCGAGTTATTTGTAAGAACCAATCGGTCAAATTGACTAATTGAGAGCACATGTATGGCACATTTATAAATATATTTTCCTATAGACAGAAAGAGTATTGCAATAGCAAAGGTACCTGAATGTAAACTCGAAGGCTTTATTACGTCAACATTATAATTTCCTTTAAAGAGAAATTAATCAAAGGTTTTAATACATAGTTTGAACAATATCGATAGGTAGAGGAATTTTTATCTTGATTGAAAAATGTTTAGAAGTCTTCAATTTAGATACGTTCTTTTGACTTTAAATGCATTGAACAATATTATTATCGAATAACACTGTATAATTAGAGCAGAAGAGCGAAAAAGCTAAATCGAATACGAAATAATTGTTTCGTCGTACTCGACAAATAGTCAATGGAATTGCAAATGTGATCGTCATTCTATCCAAGATGGAATCGTCGACACGATCCTGTTGCATACTGCAAGTTACCACTTAAGCAGTTTCGATTGAAACCGAAATTTAAAAGTTTTGAGTCAATTTCGAATAAAATCTAATTTATACTTTTTGTTGTTTGTATATTTTTAATTACAAATTTTATTATGTTATCTATTACAATTTCATATTATATTAAAGCTGTAAATTACAAAAATATTTCTGATGACGTTTTATATCGTTTTTTTACTCGGTTATTTATTTGATAATTTAATGTTTAATCTATATTGCGTTTCACATGACGAGTGATTATAAAGCAATGAGAAAGTGTTATTTAACTTGGAGAATTTACTGTTCAAGTTGACGAAGGTGTTAATTCGTTAAGAAAAGTTTCTCGTGCAAACTGCAAATAGTTATTGTTACGCAGACGGCAGGAATGGCGCTACGTTCGCAAAGATATATTCGTATGATATACATACGAAGCGCCAAAACAGCAATATTAGGTGTATATATCTTGTAATATGACATGTATATATATTTACATAATCATTGACCATACAGATGTGGGAAAGCGCGCGCTACTGCTGCAGACGAGAATGGCGTCTTTGCTAATAATAGAACGTGCTGACAATCAATCTTTTGCAAATATTTATTAGATCGAGTCTGAATTATCGTATAATTATACGAATCTGAATTACTTGCCATTGCTACTTGTGAAGAATAGATGAGACAATTGATTTGTATCAATAGTGTGCTTTTGCATTTTTCACTTCTAATCATCTCTTTGATTTAATCTTTTTATAGTTATGCAATTGTAAGAAATTAGTATTTTTCTATTCTCTATAGTTATGAAGAGCAAAGGCACAATTCTCATCACCGAAAACATTTGATTAAATCGAAAGTATAGACGCAAATACGCGTGCACACACGTAAAATACACATACACATATATGCGCGTGTACATATATATATATATATATATATATATAAATAGAGATATATAATTTCATGTTATGAAAGAAGAGAATTATCGAAAAATCAAGAACTTTGTTAAATAGATTTTAGAGGCAGAAACGATATAGCTGGCTCTATCATAGTTTATATACTTATACGCAAAGAAAAAGATTTAAAACTGTTGAAATTGTAGTAATTAAGCCAATTAAACGGTTAAATTCATCGCGCATCGATTATATTTAAATAACGGTACGCTACGTAATGAGATTTTTCATGCACCAATCATATCGCGCGGGATGTTATACGCTAAAATGCCCGACTTTTGCAATTTACATTTAGTTTCGTCAACACAGTAGGTCTACAACATCTGTGTAAATTCAATTCACAAATATGGGTTATCATCCGTGCGTTTCAATGACTGAAGTATCTACCTGAACCTGGACCTATTTCGAATGATATCGATCGAACTTTGTATAATTAAACACTAAACATAATAATTTCGAAGTATTTAACATTCAAAATAAATTTAATTCGATGAAATAATATAACTGATTATCAAAATCGAACATTTTTACTTTTTTACTAAGAATAAAGCTAATTTTAAGCACTATAACGAGATGACGAGTATTATTTTTATCCAGAGTTGAGTTTTTACACAACATTTACTTAATTTAATAATTAAGTAAAAAAAAAGAGTGATAAAACGCATGTTTCGCAATACTAATACCGACACCCCAATTTATCTATATAAGACGCGAAAGACATATTGCAGAAAATGGACCCGTAGCTGCTATATCTGCAATATATCCATAAAGCACGATGAAGGAAGCTCAGAAAATAAAAATCTAATTTGTCAATTACAACTGCCTTTTACTTCCTTCACAGTGATAAAAAATGTAAAACTTGCGCAACATGGAAACGCACGCGATGCGAACTCGAACAGCAATTTCACGCTCCATTGGCTCCATTGCTTAAAAATTGTTCACTGGCCGTAATTCCAGTTTATTCGGGAAATGTTATTTGCAATTTCCATTTGTTACTGTGAAACGCAGCAAGATACACTCACGATCCAACGAAGCGCAAGTAGCAGATATTTCTTTTAGGATCAACGTGATATAAGTATCATAAAGCGGCGGCGGTGAGGTAAGGGAAGAAGGCGCGTATGCAATTTTAATTACAAATACGTAAGTTTGTATTCGTTATCTAATTAATCCGTGATATTAACGCGTAAACTTAACAAAGCCGTATCACTTTTGACAGGTCAGAGAAAATGATTTCCGTTAACTTCGAAAACTATAACCGAATGTATGACATTAAAGTTAAGAAAAACGAAAAATGGAATTTGGCACTTAAATGAAGAATATTAATTAGAAGAATTAGCAATAAAACAAATACGACACGATCGTTTTTGAAATATAAAAATATTATTAATATTAAATCGAATACGTATCGATAAAGTTCTTAACACTTAAATTCGAGATAAGAACTGTTGCCATACACAGTTTCTGTTATCCTCTCTTTTTTCAAAGCCAATCGAACTCTATCTGCAAAATCTTGAATAAGACATATGTGATACTGCAGTCTTGGACAAATACTAAGTATATAAAATAAGTAATCTGCATCTCTAAAAAAAAAAATTAAAAAAAAAAATTAAATTGGACGAAGAATTGCTCGCTAAGCGAGAAATATTGCACAGTTTTGTAGAAAAAGTCACGAGAGGAAAGTAAAAACAAGCGTGTAAGAATGAACGTGCCCGCGTACAGTTGTAAAAAGAAATCTCTCTAGATCTCTCCGTTCGCGATCTACTCCGTTCGACCAGATTGTTTTAATTTCACTGCCATCGTTTGGTTACATTAATAATTTTTATTTATTGCGAGAATAATCTTTGCAAAAATTTCAAGCTTGCGATAAATTTTTCTTTTCTTTATTTTTTAATTTGCCACAAAAATCAAACAGAAAAAGTATAGAACTAATCAGAAAATATGTTTGCAATATCTAAAAATATTCCAAGACGGTCATATGTATTTCTTATGAAACCATCTTTTGTGATTCACGTTGTACAGTCGGAACAGGTCGTTATTGGACATAAACGAGAGAATATAAACGCAATACGATATTACGATTTTTTACATCAGCTACTTTGCAATAATACGAACAATCGCTATTCGACTGACAAATGTCGTAATCGTCGTCCCTGACCTTACCTTACGTGCTTATTCGCTCGAAACAAAGTTTCAAGAAGCAAGTCAATTCTCGCGACTCGTTACAACTTACAACGAGTTACTTATACACGGCATGTACAAATCCGCGATTCGAAAGTTGCTGCGAAAGCTTTGCTCTGTCCTTGGTCATCAATTACACAAAGTATTATAAAAAACATAAAGTATTATATTATTCCCATATTGTCATACATGTATATTATTATATTAAGCTTTATATTTTAGATCAAGCCAAAAAGCCCTCTTAGAATAAAACTTGTCGAATTTCTCATTATCGAGCTGATTTATCAACAATACTCATGTTTCAGTATAAATTAATTTTAATCAGGACCATGTAAAAAAACGGTGATTCAAATCTTAGTATTTATTCATCTCATGCGACGTTGATTAAAATAAACTTTAAAATGATATATAATTTATGTATATTATGTTTTTATGTATACAGTTGCGACACGCTAAGTAGCATGTCACAATCACAATCGCTGCGTGCGATCTCAAGAGCCTTAAATATAGGGAAATTCAATACCCGACGATGACGACGAGAGTGTTCGCAACGACCGTCGAAGAAGCCACAATAGGTATTGTACGAATTTCATGAAAAAAATAATTAAAAACAGAAAAATTATAAATATATAAATACATATATACGTACATATATATATAATGATAGAAGGGGGGAAACAATTTTTGCTATAACACTTCGTCCATTTTTCTATATGGGCAGTTCGTTGCACTCGTAACACAAATCCTTGGCCTTGTAAATTATTGTCCTCTTCGGCCACTTTTCTGACAAAAAATATCTCTCATTTTCGCAGTATTGCAGAAATAAATATATGTACACCGAAGAAATCGAACGGAATTGAATTTGATTTTTGCGCCCTCCATGATTCTCTTACTCTCATGACTGTTTCTTTCTCCTATGCAAAATTGCCTACTAAATGATAATCTCTCGGGGTTCGATTTCTACGATAGCGTGGTCACTTTTCACGTAACGATGGGACTCTTGTAAAACTTTGCGGGGCCCAATAGAGAACGATCTTGGAGATGGATCTAAGTAAGAATTTGCGAAAGCAATTAACTTCTCCGCCGATAATTTCCATTTGGAACGATCATTGACGATTGATAATGTGAACAGATGATACGTATCTCAGACATCTATTTTGATGTCAATTTCTGAGTGAAAAGCACGATGTCGAGAGCATTGCCGGCAATAATGACGCTGCGAGGGAACCAAATAATTTATTTGAATGGTTCTTCTGAGAATTAATGTGTCTCTAGTAAAAATTATATCGTTGCGTTTGCGATCAATTACACATGTAAGAGTGAAAGTCGCACAGGATAGTCGATTTGCGTTCAGCAAACGTTTAGTCTTCCTATTGTCCTCGAATTTGCGCGTGTTTATTCGAAGCGTCGACTGCGTGAGAAACATGACAAAAAGAAAGAGAACAAACGCAAAAACACAAAAATACGTCCAAAATATTATCCAGCAAATCGTCGTCAATGATCGCTCGAAAAATATCCTTGAGAAATCAAATTGTAGCATCGAACGAAGCCTGACTAGAATACTCAATGAAAAAGCTGCTTTCAAACTTATAATAAAAACATTAAAACCTATACTTCTGTTGTGTTTCATTTCGAAATATATTCTTCGCATATGCAATTAATTAATTTTAAATTTCTTGATCACATATTATCATATACATACCCCAACATTCTTTTTATTCGCCTAACTATGCTGTACATTGATTTCCTGAAATTTGTCATTATTAAACTACGAAAGTAGAAATAAAAATAATTCTTTGGGAATCCATGGATATATCGTAATAATGATACGAAAAAAAAACCTATGTGTTAAAAAAGCACCGGTTCAATAGGGGCAGAAGGGTTGTGCGATCGAAGGCATCGAAGGGAGGGCGCTACCTCGTCGCCAACTCCTTCTTCGACTCCTTCAAGTTGCGACTTGGTTTCTAACAATAATTCTCACACTAATACTTATTTTCTTTAAATAAAAATATGTTAGATAATATAAATTTTTTAATTTAACGATAGGATTAATATCGTGATATTAAAATGTTTTATATAATGCAACGTATTTAAGAAATTAATACATAATTGAAATCTTCAGCTAAACGAAAGAAAGAACACAATGAGTTTCCAATAATGAGATAAAGTTCGAATTCTCTAATAATTTTATAATAAAGATTAAACGTTTGTCACTAATAATTACTAATGTAATAACTACTGTAGGTTTTTCTAATTACTACTTCTTTGATATTACAAAATTAGTACATTATATTGTTCATCCAATAATTTCAATTGTTTTAATCTATAAAACTTTGATATAATACTTCTGTGTTTTCATAAATCATATTTGATAAGCTTGATACTGTACTAAAAATATAATAATATAATATTCAATGCTTGCCTAAAGGTTCATAATCTTTAAAGTTAAACAGCCACTATCTTCTTGTCAAAGATGGAAATAGTGAGATGTATGATCATTAATACCATCAAACATTCGCTACTAATTATGATGTAAGAGGAAACAATAAATAAATGAAAAAATGATAGTGTGTAGAAACTTAACTTGTTGAGAGAAGATAGGACTAGTAAGAAACTTTTATCAGTGACGAGAAATCGACATTGTCGCGATCAACACAAACAAGCTATCTTAAGCAATATAAGATCAGAGATAGATGCTTGTTATATGATAATTTGTTTGCAATATAGTTAAATATCTCTTTTGTAAAGAGATATGATTTATACTCTAGCTATAAACTTTCTTATTCAAACAATTTATCACTCGCGAAATTTATGTTAATATAACACAAACATGATAGAATTAAGTTCATCGAGAATTAGATTGTTTCAGTATATCACTTGTTTTGATACAAGAAAAAGATCTTAAATACCGGACAATCCTTAAAGACTATAGAAATGAATACCGTATGCAAGATTACTGAATTGAAGATTATTGCTTAAAATGAAGATTACTATCAGTTTCTTGATAAAATTTGTAAATCATTTGAAAGAGATATAGTGTTATTTCTATCGTAACAAATTTTCCAATGCTCTTGTTATATTTCTATATATGCATATATTCGGTAGGCATCATTGATAAAAATATCTAACATAATGTAATTTCTGAACCTCTAGTTGTACTTATTGTGTGCGACGCGATAAATGGAAGAAATATCGCTTTAACGATATAACTGATTATAATTAAGCTCGTGCGTTATCGCACGCAAGTTGAATTTTAAGGAAATCTTTTTGTAGACCCATATATTACGTACATATCTACTTCTAGAATAAACTGTCGTTTCCTTCATGAAATTAATTTGAAATGCAAATGTCGCATTTTCGTCCACTGATATGCCACGATCGCGATACAGAACTAAATGTGATATTTTTTCATTCACTTGGCCACACACACAATAATTAGAAATTACTATTGTGCGTGCATATGACAAGTAAATCATATTAGATGTAATTCGCCAAAACTGTCTATTGAATGCTCCAATTTATATACAATATATTTAACATATTGTACATACAACAATATATATGTAGATATTTTTTATTTAGCATCAGGATGATATCATCAATCATCATTGCATCATGTAACATCACATCACAATAATTTCAATAATTTAGGTTTTCATGACGGTGTTTAAAGTTTAAAAACGATCTGCAGTCTTTTCAATTGCAGTGTTTTTTCTCGAAAATTCAGAAATATGCAAATGCACCCGTTGGCAATCCTCGCGATATCTTCGCTTCTTCGCATAAAATTTCGTAGAATACGACTTGAACGGGCGCCAAATAAGATTGTGCGTAACTTCCGCTAATCGCTCGAAAGTCGCTCATAAAATAGAAGAAATAGAAGAAATATGCTTTAGTCGAATCAGTGAGTTATATCGCAGTCGAACCATGCTCCCGATGATACATTTTCTCGCAGCAACCAAGAAATACTCTGTTGTTTTCCGTCCGTAATCTAATTTAGAATCGCGCTTCCTCTTTTCATTCTAAATTTGCAAAATTATTTAGAGCCAGTTTCACTAACGTCCATTAACTGTAACCTTCGATTAAACTCACTCTTCATCTGTTTCTAAGCGAGGCAGTTAGAAAGAGATGAAGAGTGAGTTTAATCGAAGGTTACAGTTAATCGACATTGGTAAAACTGGCCTTTATACACATTACATAAAACTCTTCAATCATATTAACACAAGCTATTTTATTTCAACATCATCGGAAATAAAACAAAACGCTATCATTTATGTGACGCGACAAGTAGCACGCAATTCAATGATTTGCGGCACATTTGCACAAACGAATGTATAAACGTCATCCGGACGGAAATAGATTTATCTATTTATCTTACTTTGCAGGACTTTGTGTTTTTAAGCGGATTTGATATCTGAATTTGCGTGCATTACCGAAGGTAGCGTATTAATCCAGATTTTTCTCATTTATGTTTCTTAGAGATATCGAATAATTATGTTAAAAAAAAGCGGAAAAATTCGTTCAGGGGTAATATATCGTGTTTTCTAGAGATAAGGAAATAGACAAAGAAATATTTTACGCATTTAATATTTTAAAGTTGATTGAATGTTAACGAAAATTTAGAAAAATTTCCCGAGTAAGAACATAATAGTTATATATGTACAAGATAAATATTTTCTTTGAAACAAAGTTTTTTACATAAAATAAAAAACTGCTAGATGGAGTGCTCTTATCTATTTCGAACACGCTTTAAAATATAAATTTTACATATGCAAATATAAAATCTATATATATATGTATATGTATATATAGAAATAATTTTTAAAATATAATGTACAATAACTTATGTAATCGCTACATTATTTGAATTAGTGGGGATGTAGATATGCATATGTATATCCAATCGAAACTATCTTATATCACAGTTAGTTACTATGCTGGCTAATACGCGGTTAGTGTCCAGTACTAACTAACGCGTAGTGCGCATAACATATCTGTATATAAGACGTTTGTTTCGCGTTTTTCGCAATGACGATTCTGTCGCTTTTCGGGCGAATGTCCTATATTCTGAGTCAGTCCATTGGAGAATGCATTGTCAATGCATCGCCAAAAAATCCTTTGGGAAAATTTGTTAAACATCGACACTACGCAACTACTATCAAGTTAAAAATAGATTCGCAGAATGTAGTAAGTAGTAGATTGCCCGACGTAAGTGGCTTCGAGAATATTTATTTGCACGACCTCATTTGGGAAAAAATCGGAAGATGGTCAAACCGCACTGCTCTGGTATGTAATACAAATATTATGAATATCAAGAGATACACGCGCGCAACGATTTATAATACAAGAGTATAAAAAATGTACGTAGAACATTTGCATTTTTCGTAATATTATGGATGTGCGTAATTATGTATAATTAAATTACTTCTTTCTATAGATATTAAGGGGGTATGCCACCTTTGAGCATGAAATTCAACCTCTTTTTCACGATTTGTTTTAACATATAAAGAATAGAGCAATCGAAAATCGGCCTTAAGAGGTCTTTTTATTATACATTGAAGATGTAAAAAAAAATGTTTTTGTATATAAAATCATGTTCGTATATAAAATACACCCTGTCAAAAGAGGCCGTGTGCGTCACGGGGGTCCAGCTGGTGTACATGATTTTGGTTGACTGGTATGACCTAGAACAGAAATCCAAAAAAATTCTTAATCTGTGATAGATT